GGTAACCGCAGTGGTAGGTGGGCCCGAAAAAAAAAAAACGGTCCTACGGACCTTAGTGCTCTGAAACCATGTTAGAATCTGACAGCAGGAATGAATGCATTGATCAAGAGTTGGGTACATAAGCTAACCCTAACATTGGGTTGTACCCCATATGGGCTACCCCACTAGCAGCCTACACAAACACAATATGCATAGTTTGACTTACTTGATATTACTGTGCACTCCTCACCGCAGCAAAGAGGCATGCAGTATCGAGAACGAATGCGAGGAGTCAGAGTTGACTCGAAGCATTAGACGGTTAGGGTGGATCTAGACCGTCGGAGAAAAACGGCATCGGGCAGCTGCAGGGACAATGAATCTGGCGGGAACAGTTTCGTAACTGCTCGGGCCGCACGGTTGGTTTGAATTCGAATAAGGGAATGTACCCCTTACAGTACATGGCTAGCTAGGTCGCTTCGTATTCCCCTGTACTCATATTTATATCGTTGTATTTGCATGTTTTATTCATCTCAAAGCATTTTACATTCACTCTGCTATTGAGGTCAAGGGCCCACCAAACTATCTCACTGCGTGCGAACCTTCCTGGGTAGATCCTGGGCTACGATCAACTTCTGATCTCAGCAATATCCACTCCCAGATGAGCACCTGCGAAGCCCTTTGAGGGGGGCTGGCTGAATTACGCCGCAGGGGGGTTTGATCCCGGGACCTTATCTTTCGGAAGCGAACCAGCTAACTAGCTGGGCCACTTCTGTAAGGGATTGGCATGTACCAGAATTATAGATTGCATACATTAACGAAGTGCGTACTCGAAGTTCGCACAGTAAATGCAAACCCGAAGCCATGCAACGCGTACAAGGCCTGTGATGAAGTTCAACGTGCTTCACCTCCACCAAACCAAACGGCCACCAGCCAAGCCTTCCCCCAGCCAAGCGTTATCCGCTGGACGGAACAGAAACGATGTGCGCATGCAGCACAGAGCCAGAGAGATCCACCACATTTTCCTTTCCTACCTGTCCAGGTGTGTCTTTGGCGGCTCCTCAGATAAGATCTTCATCGACGCCACAAAGTGCTCCAATCCAATTCAGCCCCAACAGAAAATTTGCGCATCTACAGCAACAAGATAGTGGCACAAAACCCATCCCCTGGCACAAAACCTTTTGGGGACTAATTCGCGCAAAAAAAGAATCCAGTTTGGAAGTGCCGGGTGTATTTATTCCGAAAGCACACGACTGATTTTTTATTCGAACCCACCAAACCCTCCACCAGCTGTTGCCTTTTGTTTCTGCCTCGTCCTGCTCCACGTTTGTTTCTGAAACCACTCTTCTTCCTATCAACCAACCTTCCCAACTGAGACATTGCTGACGGTTTCTGGGTCACTGCTATACAGAATCCATCCTACGCCCTGCTTTTCGTCACTGGCTTTCCGGTAGCGCAGCTTTCCGTCACCGCGTCACGTAAAGAACTCAATGCGCACTATCGTATCGATACTGTCCTCCCGCTCCGCTCCGGAGCTCGCGTCTCTCGCTTGTCGTAATTAACATTCTCGTGTAGCTTACCTATATTTGCATCTCTTTAGCCGCATTTCCACGACATTGTCGGTCCTTGAAACCCTCCACCTTCGCTGCAACTCGCGCTGCGACGCCGCATTGAATGACCTGTCAGCAAAGCACGCCTCGAGCACGCCTCAAGGGTACTAGCTTGTAACTGCACGCCGTGTGAGTGCTTGGGATTTTAAATGGTGGACCGACAGAGGAGCGACGAGGCGGTCGAGATGAGAGAACACGACAATGGGCAGAGCTTGTTGGGCCGCACGGATTTAGACGCCGCCACCTGCGGCTGCATTCCCGTCATGCGCGCCGTGGCCGCGAGGGATGTCGGGAGGCATGCTGACGCCGGCGAGGACGCAACAGACGGCGGCGCGAGAGGCGGCGAATCGTCTCACGCTCGGACGCCGGATTTCGAATCCACGGTTTCATCAGATTGCGAGGCGCCGCGAGACGCGGCGGCTGCAGGAGCAGACAGAGCATCAGGCAGTTCTGGCTCGCCTCGGAGCGCGCGGCTCCCCACTGTTACCGCGTCCGCGGCGTCCGCGGGTGCGGATTCACCGTGCGCGCGACAGCAGCCGTTGGATGATCCGCCGAGGAATGTCGCGGATATCGATGGCTGCTCTGTGGTCGCCACTCTTGAGCCGCCTTCGCACGACGCATCGGTTGCCGCGGAGCCGAAGCCGCCTGTGGCGAAGCTTCCTCGAACGTCCATTGCGGAGGTGCGTTCACCAACTCTCCGGGTTCTTGGGAAAGCGCAAGGCCGCGTCGTTCCTCGTTTCCTCTTCCCTCCCTCTCGTACAATGCGTCGTTGCATCATTTCGCCATTCGTTCTCGTTCCACCCCACCTCCCTCTTCCGCCGTCGCATCTTCCATCCACAGTCCTCAGGACGCGGTGAAAGTAAACGATCGATCGTCATTCGGGATCGATGTGCGGCTTGGTTACCCTATTTACTACACTGTAACCATGCTACAGTACGCTTTTTGGCCAAAATATCTGCAGTGTGTGAATGCGACTGATCACTGATCGCGAGAGTTCTGTCAATTCTCAGCTGCGATCGTTACAACGTCGCGGTCGGCACATTTCGTCAATCGATCTGCCCACTCGATTGTGGGGCTCGATATATGCAGACGATCCTGCGATATTTGCACTTTCACCGCGTCCTCATGCTTTCCCCGCCTCCTGCTGCATCAGCCACCGAGCGATCCTCTTCCTCTTTTTCCCTTCCCCTTCTCATCCCCCCTTCCTTTTCCCCTCACCCGCCCTCTCCCCCTCTCCAGCTGTCCTCACGGCGTACAGCTACCATCAGCCACCGCGCGTTCCTTTTCCGCTTTCCCTCTCCCCCCTCCCTTTTCCCCTCTCGCTCCCCCCCGTCCAGCTCTCCACCACGGCATGTGGCTACATCAGCCACCAAACGTTCCTCTTCCGCTTTCTCTCCCCCCTTCCCCCCTTTTCCCCTTCCCCCTCTCGCTTCCCCCTCTCCAGCTATCCACCACGGCGTACAGCTACATCAGCCACAACACATTCGTGAGAGAGCTGCTCTGCTCCTGCTGCTCGCGCCACGCAACCACCTGCGCTGCTCGCACCAGCCGTCACTGTAACGGGTGTGATTGTAACAGCAGCGGCAGCATGGGGCACGGCGGCAGCAGCAGCAGCAGCAGCAGGACGGGATGGGCGGAAGTGGCTTTGGAGCGATTGAGCATCGTGGCGCATCTGACCACTTTCTCCATCATCGGGGTGAGCAATGCTGCGTATGGGGAGCACCAGGGGGCGCGTGCGATTGGCGAATGGGGAGCATTGGCAGGGGCGAGTGAATTGGGTATGGCGCATGCGGGCGTGTGAAGCGCTGTAACACATCTATCCTGGTTACTGCGTGGCAGAGGTGGGCTGATGGCAGGTATGAGCAGATGGCTCATGCTATGACCTGCCTCTTTCGCATTGAATATATATGTAACGATTACACACACGTTCTTGCCTCAGCTCACCCTCCCAACCGTCCACTTGTCTTCTCCTTCCTCCCCCATCATCCCACCCCACCCTCGCTCCGCAGATTGCCATACAGCATGGCATGGATCTGCTATTTGGGCCGGAGGTGGCGCACGTGACGAGTGACGAGCAGGCCATATTCATCGACCTGCCCGCCAACATGGTGAGTGTACGAGCACAAGGCGCCACACCTTGGGCTAGGCACACCTCACCTCGTCACCTCACCTCGTCGCCTCACCTCGTCACCTCAACTCGTCACCTCACCTCGTCAGAAGGTCGATCCAGCTGCCGTGGCTTGTCTCGGGTCGAGCACAGCTGGCTCAACTCAACCATGCAACTGCCAGCTCCTTGACGGATTGTCAAGCCTCACTCCCCATCCTCTCCCAATCCCACCCACGCCAGCTTGGCTGCTTCCTGCTGGGCATGCTGGGGGTGGTGTTCCTGCCAGCCCTCGTCGCACACTCACGCCACCTGGCAATAGGGCTGGTGGTGGGGCTGTGTGGTGGCATCTCCACCTTCGCCACGTGGAACCAGCGCATGCTCGCCATCGCCACTGCCGGCCTCTGGGTCCGCGCCCTCTTCGGCTACTTTGCAGGTCAGCCACGCCTCGTTTCTCCAGTAACAGAGTCGGTCCTAAGAGTTGTAGAGATGTCTCTGGCTCAGTTGCCCCGTATCCTGCATCTCCGTGCTGGTATCTTCACACTCGCCCCGTGGCACTAGCGTCTTGTCACCACTGCCGTTACTGGTTTTGGGCCGGCCGGGGACTTGTTGACGTATTTTGCTTTGCAGGAGAGACAGCTACTTAACGCCACGCCACCACTCAATCCACCACGCTGTCACTTCCTTGCGTGAAGCAACCCACCTCGGCTGCATGAAAGCAACCGCTTTCGCGAATCCAAAAATTCCACCTTTTCCCCCTTGCTTTGCTTCCTTGCTCCTGCTCCCATCCACCAGGTTCCGTGCTCCCCATCATCTCCCTCGTCGCAGGGGCAGACACCGCCCACAACCTCTGCTCTCTCCACGCCTACCTCTCCCCCCGCTCCCCGTCCCCACACGCCTCTCCCTCTCCTTCTCTCCTCCCAACCTCAAACCCCACACCTCCATCTTCCTCCTCTCCTTCCCATCGCCCATCCCCATCACATCCCACCTCCCCGCCCCTCTCCCCATCATCATCCGCACGTCGCCACCTCATTCCCATGCTGCTATGCGCACTCATCCTCTGGGTGGCGGCAATCACCGGCGCCGTGCTCGCCGCGGCACACAGCGCCAGCCTGCAGGCCTTCTGCCTCGCCTGCGCACTCGCCCCTCTCGGCACCTGCCTGCGCTGGTCCCTGCTGCCCCTCAATGGGGCTGGCATTGGGTTGTGGCTCCAAGGGGCGATTAGGATGGGGAAGGGAGCGAGTGGAGAGGCCCGGAGGGGTGGTGGAGGGAAGCGGAAGTGGGAGGAGGGTGCGGGTGCAGTTGCATGGATGCCGTGGGGAACTCTTACAGCCAACGTGGTGGCTGCTGCTTTGGAAGCTGCAATTTCTGTGGTGTATCTCGCGGTACGTTCCCACCACCTGCACAGCGATCCGGATTGGTGAACGTGGTGTTAGACCCCCTTCTTATCTTCACGCTCTTGTTTGTGTCACACTTGCAGGCGAAGTCGCATACATCGCAAGTTATAGTGGGAGGGGTGCAGCTGGGGTTCCTGACAGGGCTCAGCACAGTGTCCATGTTCTCTCTTGAGATTCTCTACTTTCAGTACACCCTTGGGACCCCATGGCGCTCGTACGTGTACCTTCTCAGTACCATTCTACCGGCGTTTCTTATCGGCACCTTAGTTTACTCTGTCCCTGTCTGGATGATGGGGTGGGATTCACTTTACAACCACGTTTAGCCTTCAAAATGCTATGGCATATGTTTTTCATTCATGTGTTATTGCTATGGCATCTATTTCATTCCTGTGTTGTAGTTTTTTCTTCTACCAGAAACATTGTATGCATCATAGTTGTAGCAGAAAGGGACCAGCTTGTACAGACTGTTCAAGTGTGCCTCGTTGAACACGCCCTAGAATGATCGACTAATAGACATCTCCTTGCTGGGCAATGCAGTTCATGCCGAGCTGTGCTTGGGATGGGATGGGACCACGTCTTGCGCCGTCGACAGCCGTACAGATGTGCTCTGCAGCAGCTTCCAATAATTCTCTCGCCATGAGAAGCGCATCACACGCTGTCGGCTCAATGGTCCTTCCTATGCACGCAGATGGCACAAATATTGTTTGTCATCGCAATTATACTTTTCTTCCGCGCAGAACACGCCCTAGGCTGGAGAACAAGGGAATTTGTCGCCCCGCCCGAGCTGTGCTTGACTTTGGACCGCGCGCCGTCAAGTGCAGCACACATGTTGCTCTGCAGCTTTCAATATTCTCCCCCATGAAACCCGCATAGGTAACAGGCAACTTCCCGGAACAATCTACTGCTTGCTCCCCGGCGCCTCGATGATTGCCGACGTCGAGCTGAAGCCGTCGCTGCTCCCCGCCGCATCGCGCGTTATGGCGTATATAAACACCCGCATTCCTTCCTACACACCATCGCACACACTCAGAGCATCATTACCGCTTGCTGAGATTCATACACCCTCCTGCCTTCTCACTTCAGTCTTCCTAGTACTGCCTAACTCGCATCCTAGTTCCACACAGAGGAATCCCCGCTCCTCGCGCTTCAAATGGCTCTTCGCGTTTTCGCAGCCCTCGCGACGCTCGTCGCAGCGCTCGCTGTCCTTGCTCCCGCGAGTGCCACCACGTACCGGTCCACGTTCAGCGATGGAATTAATTCCGGCGGCGGTGCGTGCTATTACGAGGGCAACTTCCGCGACTCGGAATATTTCTACAAAGGGCTGACCGCGTACCTGCCCCAAAATAAGTACGACGGCGGCAAGGGCTGCGGCACGTGCTACGAGATCGAGTGCAAGAACCACAAGAGCTGCCGAAGCGGCAGCGTGATCGTGCGCGCGACCGGCCGGCACGGCGACGATCAGTTCCTCCTCGCCTCCACCGCGTGGGACAAAATCGTCCGCGGCCGCGACGCGGGGTACGTGGAGATTAAGTTCCGCAGCGTCGACTGCCCGAAGAACGGCGACATCGGGGTTAAAATCATTCCCGGCACGAACCAGTACTGGTTCGCGGTCCAGATTCTGGGCGCCGCGAAAGCCGGCGGAGTGGAGGGAGTTGAGTTATCGAAGGACGGCAAGAAGTGGAGCAAGATGAAGCGGCTCGCGGAGAGCGCCACGTGGGCGTTGGATCCCGCCAAGGAGATCGTGGATGCGGGAAAGAAGGTGAGCGTGCGCGTCACGGCGGTGGGCGGCGCGCGCGTGGAGCTGAAGGATGTCATTCCCGAGAAGTGGACCGTTGGGAACACGTACAAGAGCAGCACCAACTTCTAGAGACGGTACTACTCTCGGACGCGAATAAAGTGCTGATATTGGATATTGCAGAATATTAGGCGCCCCGCCCAGATTAAGTTTATGTTAGCAGAAGATGTCCTCTTGTTTTCCACTCCAAATAATGAATAAAAACTGCATTTGACAAATGTTCAATATACAAATATGGTTACAGACTTAGCCAGCTAACTTAACATAATCTTCCTCTCAGTTTCCCTTCAAGGTGCGTTCCTCACCTCATCGAATTATGGAGGGCACTGCTGCACGAGGAGGCTGGGCAGCTCGGGGGCATGGCGGGGAGAGGGAAAGCGAGAGCGAAAGTGACGAGAGCACTGGTGGATCCTCCGCAGGGCCCGAGCAGGGCATGGGACCCATGCTCCCAGAGTCCCTTCTCCTCGACTCTTGTTGCTCTGATTCCCCGGCTGGAGCGGCTGTGAAAGCACCTCTCACGGCCATCTTCCCTTGCTGTACAGCGCCAAGTAAGGTTGCCTTGGCTGAGGCAGCCAGTGCTGCAGCATGTGATTCCGTTGCACGTTCCGTGTTGGTAGCAGCAACAAAAGGAGCAGCAGAAGCAGCAGCAGCAGCGGCAGCAGCGGTAGGAGCAGATGCAGAGGACACAGGGGGCACGGCGGGTGGGCGGGCAACAAGGAAGGCGGCTCGGATGGATGGACGCTGCTGAATGGGGTCAGAGGGAGCGGAACCAGAGGGAAGGGCGTCAGTGGGAGTGGGGTTAGCAAGAGGGGCAGGCACAGGCAGCATGGGGCGAGGCCGAACCACCTGTGCCGAGCCTCCGCTGCCTGCCTTGGACAAACCAAGCCAAGAGCGTTGGTTTGGACTGTGGGTGAGGCTGTAGGTCGGCTGTAGCCTTGACTGGGTGCGTGAAGAGGAGGTAGAGAGGGCTGTGGAGCCTGGAAGTGCTTTCAATGGGGCACTGGAGGTTTGGCGATCCAACGGCTGGGATTGAAGGAACGCGGAATTTGGAGTGAAGGAATTTGAGGGAGGAGGTGTGGGGTGGGATGGAGAGGGTGGAGGGCGCGTGGGTGCAGGAGCATGCGCAGCAGTAGCAGTAGCAGGCAAGGCCGTGGCAGTCGTACCAGTAGAGGCGACAGCACTAGCAGGGGCAGCAGCACAGGACTTAGTGGGAGGAGCAGCAGGGGGAGGAGTGGGTGGGGTAGGCACATCAGCACTGTTGGCCCTGCTGCTGCCACGTGTCGCCACATCAGCACTGATACTCCCGCTGCTGCCACGTGGCACAGAAGATTGTTTCACTCTCTGTGCCACGACTGCTCCAGCTGCTCTGCTGGCTGCCTTCATTCCATTGGCTACTGGTGCTGACGTGGCTACTGGTGCTGACTTGGCTACAGTCCCATTTAAAGGTTTGACCAATGCTGCTACAGATGGCGCACCTATAGCACTCGCTGCTACAGCATTCCCTGCTACAGCAATCCCCAATGCAGCACTTTTATGCAACGCGGGTGGTGAGGTAATAGAAGCATGGGCATTACGAGGAGCAGTGGGATGACGGGCAGGAGTTGCGGCAGTGGCTGCAGCAGTGGTGGGAGTGGGAGGAGCAGCAGCAGGAACAGTGGTAGCATTGACCGCAGCAGGCATGGCAGCCGGTATGGGAGTAGGCATGGCAGCAGGCACGGCAGCAGGCACGGCAGCAGACATGGTAGCAGGCATGGCAGTAGGCATGGCAGTAGGCATGGCAGCAGGCATGGCAGAAGGTATAGTAGGGGGCGAGGGGGAAAGGTGAAAGAACGCAGAGTACGGCATAAAGGAGGGGACAGCAGGGGCAGCAGCGGGAGCAGCAGCGGTGGCAGGGGAGGGTGAGGGGGATTGCGAGGGGGGTTGTGAGGGGGGTTGCGAGGGGGGTTGTGAGGGGCAGAGCTGAATGATGCGGCCATCAGGCAGCATCACGGGCGCCAGGCTCCGAGACGGCTTCCCTGCCCCTCCTCCCCCTCCCCGCCCTCCTCCTCCTCCTCCTCCTCCTCCTTCTCCCTCCCCACCTGCTCCTGCTCCCCGCCCCCCCACACCCCGTGTGGGCGGCCACCCGAATACGCCCCTCCGCCTGCGCCTCCTGCGCCGGGGGAAGGGAGGCGCCGCGGCATCTGCAGCAGCTGGAGCGGCAGCAGCAGGAGTAGCAGTGGCAGCAGCAGGGTCAGCAGCAGCAGTAGCAGAGGGAGCGGCGGCAGAGGCAGGGGGGAGGGCAGCAGAGGAGTGAGGAGCAGGCGAGGGCAGAGCAGCAGGTGAGGGCAGAGCAGCAGGTGAGGGCAGAGTAGCAGGTGAGGGATGAGGAGAGGGAGAGGAGGTGGAGACAGGCAGAGGAGGAAGGGGCATAGACGAGGGGGGCGCAGTGGGAGGAGCTTGCAACGGTTGTGGTGGCTGTGATGCCTGTGGTGGCTGTGGTGGCTGTGATGGCTGTGGTGGTTGTGGTGGGGATGGTGTGTGGGGTCTGGGCCAGGGCGTGGGTTTGAGGGGTGGAGTGGGGCGAGGGGCGGTGGAAGGGGAAAGAGAAGGCGTGGGGTGGGGGAGAGAGAAAGGGGTTGGTGGGAGGAAGGCGGTGGGGAGGGCGGGCTGGGATGGGGTGTGGAAGGCAGACCGGGGAAGGGGGAGCGTAGGATGGAGGTGCGTGGGAAAGGAAGGGGTGGGACGTAAGGGGGAGTGAGAAGATGCAGATGGAGGGATGGTGGAGTGAGGGGAGTGAGAGTAGGTCAAAGGTTGGAAGGGCCTGGTTGCAGAGGGGGATTGTGAGCGGAGGGGGAGAGGAAGAGGGGGGAAGTTGCGGAAGCGGGGGAGAGGAGGGATGGGGACGAAGGCGAGGGGGTCTGGGCAGGCAGCAGCAGGAGCAGTAGGAGGCGGAGCAGAGGCAGGAGGAGGAGCAACAGGAGGAGGAGCAAGAGGAGCAGCAACAGGAGGAGCAGCAGCAGCAGCAAAAGTGGCAGCAGCAGCAGGAGCAGCAGGAGCAGCAGCAGCAGCAGCAGAAGCAGCAGCAGGAGCAGCAGCAGCAGGAGCAGCAGCAGGAGCAGCAGCAGCAGCAGCAGCAGAAGCAGCAGCAGGAGCAGCAGCAGCAGCAGGAGCAGCAGCAGCAGCAGAAGCAGCAGCAGCAGCAGCAGGAGCAGCAGCAGCAGCAGCAGGAGCAGCAGCAGCAGCAGCAGCAGCAGCAGCAGCAGGAGCAGCAGGAGCAGCAGCAGCAGCAGGGATGGTGACAGCAGGTGCTCTTGAAGGGCCTTTGCGCGCCACAGCGAGCCCTGTGCTGTGTTGCAACGCACCTGCGCGCTCACCTGCATCCAACACCCCTCCCCTTCCTTCTGCAACGGTGCGTTGGGCGGCACAGGTTTCAGTGAGCGCATCACTCACACCCCCCCTCGTTGCCACTTCGCCCAGTAGTGGGCAGGCAGCAGCTGCCCCAATGGATGCTAGCACTCCTGCACCTGCGGCTTCACTGCTTGCTCTACACCCCCCTCCTGTTGTTGCTGTTGCTGCCACGCCTGCTCTTGTTGCTGCTTCTGCTGCTGCTGCTGCTGTTGCTGCTGCTGCCTCTGCTGTTCCTGTTGCTGGGGCTGGTGCCTTTTCTGGTGCTTCAGAAGCTGGTGCTTCAGAAGCACCAGAGGCGGCTTCTGCTGCTCTGCATGCTGCTGCAGCAGCTGCTGGCAGCGGGGGTGGTGCACGGCCCCCACCTTCTCTAGAGCTCGCTGCCTGAGCTCTTACTCCTCCGCTCGCCGCCCGCTCTTCGTGTGCCTGCGTCGCCACCCCTCCGGCTCTGCTGTCCGCTGGTCTGCTGTCTGCTGCTGCAGCAGCAGGGAGAGACACAGCAGGAGCTCGTTCCCCCGCACCAACCACTAGTGTGCGGGTCACAGGCCCAGCAGAAACCATTGCTGCTGCTGCCACTGGTGGTGCTGCTGCGGCTGTTGCTGACGCCACTAGTGGTGGCGGTGCTGCTACTGCTGACGCCACTGGTGGTGGTGGTGCTGCTGCCACTGGTGGTGGAGGTGCTGCTGCCACTGGTGGTGGTGGTGCTGCTGCTGATGCCACTGTTGCTGCCCCTGCCAGTAGTAGTGGTGGTGGTGCTGGTGCTGCTGCAGGGACGTCCATTGCTGCAGCTGTAGGCGGGGCGGGCATTGGCTGTGCAGGTACAGAGGTGGTAGCGAGCGGCAGAGAGAGGGCTGCGAGCAGTGCAGAGGGAGGAAGGGCAGAGCCAGCCAGGGGAGGTGCCTCTGAGGTAGGGGCTGACTGGGGTGGGCGAGGGGAAGGGTCAACTGGGGGAGGTGTATTTGTGGGGGTAGGAGAGAGGAGAGCAGACGATGGTGGTGGTGGGGTGGAAGGGCGAGGAAGGTGAGCCGGGAGGGGCGGTGACGAGAGTGGGTGGGAGGAGAGGAAGGCTGCTCGGATGAAGATGGTGGGAGGAGGAGAGTCGTCTGAGGCAGACAAGCGAGGAGCGGGAGGGGGAGGTGGGGGAGGAGAGCATGGCGGGGATGGACGGGGAAGGGAGGGCCGTGGGGATACAGGGGAGGGAGGGGATGGTGGGCAGGGGCAGGAGGAGAGAGGTGATGTTGGGGACGGTGAGAGGGAGGTAAGGGAGGGAAGGGAGGGACGAGGGTGGCCTCTGGGTGAGAGGCATGCCTGATGGGCGGTACACCCAGCAACACCTGCTGCTGCTGCATCAGCACAAACAGCTTTTGCAGCACCGTTGCCAGCTTTTGGAGCATCGGAGTAAGCTTTGGCATTAGCAGCGGTTGCAGAAGCATTGACCGTGGCATCAGCAGCATTGGTAGCATCAGCATCAGCAGCGTCAGTGTCTGCAGAAGCAGCAACACTGGTAGCAGCAGCATCAGCAGAATTATTATCAGCAACACCATCAGCAGGAGTAGCATCAACATCAGCATCAGCATCAGCATCAGCATCAGCGGAAGCAGCAGCAGCAGAAGCAACGTCAGCAGCAAGATGAGCAGCAGCATGTGCATGACAAGAAGCGGCATGTGTGGACCCATCTCCATGTGACCCCTGCCCTGTGTCCTCACACCCACCACCCTCATCATCTCTATGCCTACTGCTGTCAACATGGTTACCACCAGCAGCACAACTACTATCAGCAGAACCACCAGCAGCACTGGCGGCACCAGCAGCAGCAAGGGGTTGTGCAGATAAAGCTTCGTTATTAACAACGCAGACTGTCTCTGACTCAGCACACGGGGAATCTGACTGAGCACGCATGGAATCTGACTCAGCACACAGTGCATCCGACTCAGCAGCAGCGGCAGCAGCAGCAGCCAGCAGGTCAACAGCAGAAGGGTGGTGGTGGTGGTGGTTGTCAATGCCTCGAACCACTGGGGCTGCTGCTGCCTCTGCTGCTTCTGCTGTTGCTTCTGCTGCTCCTGCTTCTGCTGCTGTTGCTCTTTCTGCTGCTGCCACTGCTGCTCCTTTTGCTTCTCTTACTTCTGTTGCTTTTGTTTCTTGTGCTACTGCTGTTATTACACAACTTGCTGCTATTGCTGGTTCCTCTCTCAGCGCTCTTGCCACCTCCATCCCTCCCTCTGATGCCCCTGCTGCCTCTGCTGCCTCTGCTGCCTCTGCTGCCTCTGCTGCCTCTGCTGCCTCTGCTGCCTCTGCTGCCATACTGCTATGATCTGCTGGAACACCTGCTGTTACACTGATGCGCTGTGCTGTAGAAGCAAGTGCTTCCTCTTCTCCTATTACACTGTCTCTTGCTGCCCCTACCCCTCCCACAGGTGCAGCTGCCTCGGGCAGTGCAGTCACCTTCGCTACAATCACATCGGATAGAGTCACAGCAGGCGTCATAAGCCCACCCCCACTCGTCCCTGTCACCACTCCCCGCAGCAACAGCTCGCGAAATTGAACAAACGGTTGCTGCTGCTGCACTAGCTGTAGCTGCTGCTGTGAATGCCGCTGCTCCGGCTCCCCTCCTCTCACGTCTGCTTCCACCTCGCTCTCAACCCCTCCTTGCTCCTCCTGTACCACCTCCTCTTCCCTATGCCCCTCTCTTCCTGCAGCCCCAGAGATTGCCTGCAAGGGCCTTGCTTGCACCACTGCTGCTTGTGACACTGTGGGTTGCAGCAGTGACCATCTCAGAAGCATGCGAGACCCTCCTACAGCCCCTTCCTCACCCTCCGCCACTTCTCCTCCTCTCACCTCTCTTTCCCTCACCTCTGTTTCCCTCACCTCTCTTTCCCTCACCACTCTTTCCCTCACCTCTCCTCCACCACATACACCTCCCCTAAATGCCACCTCCTCACTGCCCGGGCTTGGCCCCTCCATCCCTGCTTCCAGAGCTCGCTGCGTCAGCGTCAGGTGCGGCTGACTCAGCACCGATCCTGCATTAGCTACGGTGTCAGGGCGGGCAGGTGGCAGCTGGGGAGGGCTCGACTGCAAGAGCGGCTGCAGCAGATGAAAGCGGTTGGGAAAGAGCTGCTGGAATGTCACGTGGCATGCTGCAGTGCCTCCTGCGCTGTCGCCTGCGCTGCCACCGGTGCTGCCACCTGTGCTGCTGCTTCTGTTGCTGTATGCTGCGATTCCACCTGGTATGGGTCCATTTGGTGTGGCACCACTGATTGCCACGTCAGCTCCTGTGTCACCCCGTGGGCTGTGCTGGCTTGCTGCCTGCTCCCTCACATGAACCTCCTCACACCGTGTGCCTGCATTCTGCTCTCCTCCTGCTTCCACATTCGCCTGCCCCCCATCCTCCCGCCCTCCATGCTCCATCCGCCGCTCCTCCTGTAGCTCTCTCTGCTGCTCCTCACCCTCTCTCCTCTCCTCACCCTCTCTCCTCCCCATACTCGCCAACCCCTCCCCCATCTCCTCTCCCCCTCGCCCTTCACCTCTTTGCCCTTCACCTGAGAACCCAACAAGCCCCTCCAATCCTCTGTGTTCCTCCTCCCTAATCTCCTCGTTCATCCTTACCCTTTGCATGTCTTGTTCTCTTACCATACCTTGCTCCCTTCGCTCCTCTTGCTCCCTTTGCAATGCTTCCTCTCTCTGCACCAGCTGTTGACTCTCCATCCACTCCCGTTCTCTCCGCTTTTGCTCTTCTCTCCGCTTTTGCTCTTCTCTCTGCTTTTGCTTGTCTCTCTGCACTTGCTCTTCTCTCTGCATCCGCTTCTCCCGCTCTCGTTGCTGCTGCCTATGAGCGAGGCGGCGGGCAGCCAAAGCATCGGAGAAGAGGCGGCGCAGCTGGGAGGGGTCGCGGTGGGGCATCACAGCGCGGCTCATGGCATGCCAGTCCAGCTTCCACGCGTTCAGTGCCTGGATGGGATGAGATGGGGGGATGGGGGAGATGGGGAAGGGAGGGATGGGGATGGGGGGGATAGGGATGGGGATGCATGCAGGAGGGATGAGAACTGGGTGGGGCATCATGGCACGGCTCATGGCGTGCCAGTCCTGCTTCCACGCGTTCAGTGCCTTGTGTGTGGTGCATGGGATGAGATGGGGGAAAATGGGGGAAAGTGGATACATACAGGAGGGAGAGAGCTGGGTGGGGTCGCATTTGAGCTTTGCTAATGCCTTTATTTTTCCCAATGGCAGGATGGTGAAAGAGCACAGAGGGGACAACGGCAGTGATGCGGATCCGAGGTGAATGGCGATGCTATGTGATGATGGTGCCGCGATGTTGTCGTGATGGTGCCGTGATGGTGTCACGATGTTATCACGATGGTGTCATGGTGTTGCCATAATGTTGTCAGCATTCATGCGCTATCCCGACGCACCGTCTGTATTTGGTCGACCTCGTGGTCAGTCAAGGGAGCAGTCTTGCGCCGCCACACTCGCTGCGGGAGAGGCGCACACGCAGACACAGGTGGGTGGAATAGATGGAGATGCACGGATGGAGATGCACGGATGGAGATGCACGGATGGAGATGCATGGATGGAGATGCATGGATGGAGATGCATAGATGGAGATGCATGGATGGAGATGCATAGATGGAGATGCATGGATGGAGATGCATGGATGGAGATGCATAGATGGAGATGCATGGATGGAGATGCATAGATGGAGATGCATGGATGGAGATGCATGGATGGAGATGCATGGATGGAGATGCATAGATGGAGATGCATGGATGGAGATGCATAGATGGAGATGCATAGATGGAGATGCATGGATGGAGATGCATAGATGGAGATGCATGGATGGAGATGCATAGATGGAGATGCATGGATGGAGATGCATAGATGGAGATGCATGGATGGAGATGCATGGATGGAGATGCATAGATGGAGATGCATGGATGGAGATGCATAGATGGAGATGCATGGATGGAGATGCATGGATGGAGATGCATAGATGGAGATGCATAGATGGAGATGCATGGATGGAGATGCATAGATGGAGATGCATGGATGGAGATGCATGGATGGAGATGCATAGATGGAGATGCATGGATGGAGATGCATAGATGGAGATGCATGGATGGAGATGCATGGATGGAGATGCATAGATGGAGATGCATGGATGGAGATGCATAGATGGAGATGCATGGATGGAGATGCATGGATGGAGATGCATAGATGGAGATGCATAGATGGAGATGCATGGATGGAGATGCACGGATGGAGATGCATGGATGGAGATGCATAGATGGAGATGCATGGATGGAGATGCATGGATGGAGATGCATGGATGGAGATGCATGGATGGAGATGCATAGATGGAGATGCATGGATGGAGATGCATGGATGGAGATGCACGGATGGAGATGCATGGATGGAGATGCACGGATGGAGATGCATAGATGGAGATGCATGGATGGAGATGCATGGATGGAGATGCATAGATGGAGATGCATAGATGGAGATGCATAGATGGAGATGCATGGATGGAGATGCATGGATGGAGATCCATGGATGGAGATGCATGGATGGAGATGCATGGATGGAGATGCATGGATGGAGATGCACGGATGGAGATGCACGGATGGAGATGCACGGATGGAGATGCACGGATGGAGATGCACGGATGGAGATGCACTTGCAGGGGGATGTATGAAGGCAAGGCACAACTTTGGCCATCTGCACAGATGAACTGACTGCTCCGTGGGCAACCTTCACACCCACTTACCCACCACACTCATCATCTGCAACTTCACGGATCTACCTTAGCAGCCTTGCCTGCCTGCCTGCCTACCTAACGCGCCTCGCCTGGCCTTAAAAACTCATGTGCCTACACGACTGTGCGTGCACGTGTGCGCGCGTGTGCGTGCGTGCTCACCTTGATGGGGTTGTCGGGCACGCGTGAGGAGCACCGGTTCTTCCACCGGATGGAGATCTGACGGCCAGGAGAGGGGGGGAGGGGAGATGCAAGGTCTGTGCGTGTGCGTGTGCGTGTCTGTGTGCACGAGTGAGTGAGGAGCACCGGTTCTTCCACCGGATGGAGATCTGACGGCCAGGAGAGGGGGGGAGGGGAGATGCAAGGTCTGTGCGTGCGCGTGTGCGTGTCTGTGTGCACGAGTGAGTGAGGAGCACCGGTTCTTCCACCGGATGGAGATCTGACGGCCAGGAGAGGGGGGGAGGGGAGATGCAAGGTCTGTGCGTGCGCGTGTGCGTGTCTGTGTGCACGAGTGAGTGAGGAGCACCGGTTCTTCCACCGGATGGAGATCTGACGGCCAGGAGAGGGGGGGAGGGGAGATGCAAGGTCTGTGCGTGCGCGTGTGCGTGTCTGTGTGCACGAGTGAGTGAGGAGCACCGGTTCTTCCACCGGATGGAGATCTGACGGCCAGGAGAGGGGGGGAGGGGAGATGCAAGGTCTGTGCGTGCGCGTGTGCGTGTCTGTGTGCACGAGTGAGTGAGGAGCACCGGTTCTTCCACCGGATGGAGATCTGACGGCCAGGAGAGGGGGGGAGGGGAGATGCAAGGTCTGTGCGTGTGCGTGTGCGTGTCTGTGTGCACGAGTGAGTGAGGAGCACCGGTTCTTCCACCGGATGGAGATCTGACGGCCAGGAGAGGGGGGGAGGGGAGATGCAAGGTCTGTGCGTGCGCGTGTGCGTGTCTGTGTGCACGAGTGAGTGAGGAGCACCGGTTCTTCCACCGGATGGAGATCTGACGGCCAGGAGAGGGGGGGAGGGGAGATGCAAGGTCTGTGCGTGCGCGTGTGCGTGTCTGTGTGCACGAGTGAGTGAGGAGCACCGGTTCTTCCCCCGGATGGAGATCTGACGGCATGGACGAGGGCAGGGAGATACACGGCCGCGAAGCCAAGGGGCATCAGGATGGGGAGAGAGAGCACGAGAAGGAAGGGGAAAATAGAGAGAGGCGAGAGTAGGACAGGGGCAGGGGTAGGCAGGCAAGTGCATCTTGTGTGCATCACTCGCCGTTGCATTACCATGACAGGGCATCGTATGCAGCATGCCGCTTCTCCTCATGTGTTCCCACATAGCCACTCCAAAGGCTCACTGCCTCACCGAACCAGCTCGCACAACGCGGCGTCGCTCTCAACCTGCTGTGCCTTGACCCGCACGCCCCCACCGCCCCACCACCACCCACCGCCCACACCCCACCTGGTGCTTCGTGAGGGCCCCAACGCTCACCACACCCCCACCTGCCACCACACCCCACCCCCCGCACCCCACCTGGTGCGGAGTCTTCCCCGGCAGGAAGCGCCTGTGGATGGCCTCCCAGTCCGTGCTCAGCTGCTCCACGCCCATGGCCAGCAGACTGGTGGGCGAGAAGCAAGCACGGGGATGCGCGGGATGCAAGAGGGTGGCAGGCAAAAGGGAGGAATGGTAGCTGCTGATATGCTACACCTATGGGTAGTCAGATGTATGATGTATGCATGCAAGCACCTGTTGTACGCACATGATGGCATGGCACGTGCAATTTAAGGAACCACTCAAAATAAACACACCCACTCAAGGACCTACGTCTAGCAAACATATGCATACATCCATGCGCCCATACCCCCACCCACCCACCCACCCACCCACCCACCCACCCACCCACACAAGCCCGCACCAGTCCTCAGCGGGGGAGAAGATGGTGCGGTGCAGCAGGGGCGGGCGCACCACGGGGAAGAGCGACGCATCAAACGCGCCTGCCAGCGGCTGCAGGGCCGCTGCCACCTCGCCCCGCACCCGCACCACCTCGCCCAACCCCGCCCTCCGCCCCTCCTCCCCCTCCTCCTCCCCTTCCCCCCCCTCGTCCACCTCCTCCCGTCTGCCTTCCTCCCCTTCTTCTTCCCCTTCTTTCTCTTCCTCCCCTCCTCCCCCTTGCTTTCCCTCCTTCGCCCCTCGAGGCCCAAAAGAAACGCTGTGGGTGGGCTGGAACCGAGGGGTCTTGCAGGGAGAGGAAGTGTGGGAGGGGGCGAGGGGTTGGAGAGAGGGAGGCCGAGTCACTGAGAACATGGGCACCCACTTGCGCTTCCTCTTCCTCTTACTCCCTCCCACCTGCTGCTCCACCTGCTGATACTGCTGCCGCTGCTGCTGCTGTTGATGTTGATGATCATCAACGTGACACTCTTTTGAGATTTGATGTTGTTCCTGCTGCTGTATCTGCTGCTGTTGTGTCTGCTCGTTCTGCTGTTGCTGCTGTTCCTGCTGTTCCTGCTGCTCCTGCTGCTCCTGCTGCTGCTGCAGCTGATGTCTGCTCGTCCTCCTGCTTATCCGCCACGTCTCTCAGAGAAAGCCCTCGACTACCCTCTTCATCTCGCTGCCGCTGCACAGAACCATCACTCTCACCACCCTCTGCATCTGGCTGCCGCCGCAACTCCCTCTCGCCACCCTCTGGTTCCGTCCTTTTTGTTCTCTCCCCATCTCCCTCCTCCACCCTCTCCTTTGACGTGCCCTGTGCCTCCATCCGCTCCCCCGCCTCGCTCTCTACCCGCACCTTGCCCCCCTCGTTCAACTCTTTCCCACCACTCTCACCACGCCCACGTCCTCCACTCCCTTGTGCCATGGGCTCTGCTCCTCCATCGCTCGCATTTCCCACGTCACCCCCATTCCCCCCTCTCCTTAACACCTCCTCAGCAACTCCTTCCCCGTGCATCTCCTCTCCCCCATCCCTTCCTCCACCACCACCGAATCTTTCACCATGCCCCCCACCACCACCCACCCTGCGCGTCTCACTCCCTCGTCTGTCAGACGCAAGTACGTCTGGACTGGCACTGAGTGCCTCTGACGCAGATGGGATAGCACCACCACTGCCTGCTGTCGCTCTTTGTGATTCGTCCACTTGTGCTGCTGCTGCTGCTGCTGCTGCTGCAGCTGCTGTTGCTTGTGGAGTCTCGGTGGCTGCTGTTCTTTCTGCTGATAATGATGGTGACTGCGCTACTGCTTCTGCTGCTGCAGCAGCGGCTGTTGCTGCTGCTGGCGGTACTGTTGCTGTTGCTGTTGCTGTTGCTGTAGGCGGGTGCGTGTGAGCTGTCACAGCAGGCCCACATGTCGTCGGCAGGTCCATAGATTGCTCCCCAAGAACTGCAAGGGAGAGACACACGAGGCAGACACAAGGGTCAGACACAGAGAGCAGCAACAGTGCACAGCAAGCACAGCACAAGCCGCCTTTCACACACTACAACCCCCCTGCTTATCCACACCACAACTCCTCTCCACCCCACCCATGCCTCGGCTGCCCTCCCAGCGCTTGCTTCGATACCTTTGTCGATGGAGAGAAGAAACGAAGGAAGAAGCGCCAGGCTGGGAATCGAATCTGCCAACCGTGCTGCTGTCCTGGCAGCTCCGTGGCTGCTCGCAGCAGCAGAGGCAGCAGCAGCATCTGCAGGGGCCACAGCAGCAGGAGAGCCCTGAGCTTCCAGACAGGAGACAGGAGATGAGAAAGGAGGGCGAGGAGTGGGAGGAGAGCAAGGTGGTGGCAAGGGAGGCGAGGAAAGCGAAGGTGGAGCGTCAACCCCTGATGCATCAGCAGCTGATACACTGGTCCACACTCCTCTCGCATCTCCTGATCTGTTATCACCTACCCCAGCAGTACCACCTCCTCCCCCAACACCTCCCCCAGTAACACCTCTCCCAGTGGTGCCACCTCCCCCAGTAGCACCTCCCCCCCACTGCGCCAGCTGTGCCAGCAATCCCCGGAGCACCGTCGCCACCTGGCAGCGAGAGGGGTCCAGCACACACACCGCGTACACCTGCACTGCCAGCTGGACGTGACACGCCAGCAGCGCTGCCAGCTGGGCACGCTGATGTGGCGCGAACGCGGGGGGAATGGGGACAGGAGCGAGGCATGCAACGGGGCGAATATGGAAGGGGTATGTGCCGTGTACGGGCAGGGGGAGTGGCACAAAGGAACGCGCGGTGGGGAGCGGGGCGATGGGGAGTAGGCGAGTGGGGGGCACTGGCGCGGCAGCAGGAGCAGCAGGAACAACAGCAGCAGGAACAACAGCAGCAGCCACTTTTCTAGTGTGCGCAGCAGTAGTAGCAGCGCCCTCTGACCCCACACCAGCAGCACCAGCAGCAGCACCAGCAGCACCAGCAGCAGCAGCAGCAGCAGCAGCAGCAGCAGCGGATCTGCCTGAGCGGCCCTTCCTGCCCACCGCTCTGGGCCTTGCTGCTGCCATGGAGCCTCTGCGCCTGCTCTGCCCTGCGCTGCTCGCCCTGCCACTCGCCATCCCTGGGCTGCCTGATGGGGATGATAGGGACACCCCACCATCCGCTGCCGCACCTGGATGAGCAGCGGCAGGAGGCGCACCCTCACTGCCACCTCCTGCTCCTGCTCCTGCACTTTCGCCTCTGCACACTGCCGTCTCTTCCCCCGGCCTCCCTCCACCCCCCAGCGCCACACTCCCTTCTTTCACTGCCTCGTCTTTCCCCTTCTTCGCCCTGCGCCTCCTCTTGGAACCTCCCGCCTCCACCTCCCCCTCCCCTTCCCCCTCTCCCTTCCCGCCCTTCCTCACCGCCTCTCTCCCCTTGCCTCTCCTCCTCGACACCCCTGCAGTGGTCCGTTTTGACCTCCGCACCCCCACCCCCACTCCCATCCCCACCCCCCCGCTGCGCATTTCCACCGCACCTCCCCTTCCCCGAACGCCCACGCCTTGGACAGGTGGCAGCTGCTCATTGGCTGGTTCATGCCCGTCACTCTCAGGAACAGCAGGAGCAGCGGAGGGCTGCTGGTGGAGGCGAGAGGCATCGCCCTCGTGCCCACCCGCCGCTGCTTCATGCGCCGCCTCCCCTCCCTCCCCCCCCTCCCTTACCTCCCTCTCCTCCCCCTCCTGCAAGCCCCCCATCTCTCCACCCCACGCCCCCCAATAGCCCCCCTTCCCCTCCCCACGGCTGCATTTGCGCCTCTTACTCCTCCCCTTCCCATCTCCCTCGCTCCCCGCTTCCTCCTCGCCCTCCTCCTCCTCTGCCCTCGTAGCTGCCTCCGCAGCTGCCTCTGCCTCCGCCTGTGCCTGCATCTCCGCTATAAGCTCATCCTCCAGCCCCGCTAGAAGCCCCCCGTCCAGATCATCCTCATCCACCACGAAGTCCTGCAGATCTAACAGCTCATCCTCACCGTCCATTAGCAGATCATCTCCCTCCAATAAAAGCAGATCGTCGATATTGAAGTCCATATCCTCCTCGTCCTCTTCATCCTCCGCCTCCTCCTTTTCCTCCCCCTCTTCTTCCCCTTCTCCCTCTCCCTCTCCCTCTCCCTCCCCCTCTTCCTCCCTTTCGTCCTGCACCCTGTTCTCCCCGCCTCTTGCGTCAACAGCTTCCTCTCTTTCCTCCTCCCCAATCACGCTTGCCTCTGCTGCTCCTCCAAATTTATCCTCATCCCCTCCCCCCTCCTCTTCCACCTCCTCCTCTCCACCCTCCCTTCTTCCCTCCACCCCCCTCCCTTCCCCCGCCTCTCCTTCCCCCTCCTCCCCTTCCCCCTCCCCCTCCTCCCCCTCGTGGTCACTAGCGCAAGGAGAGTCGGGGAACAGCACGGCGGACAGGAATCGCTCGTACTCCTCCTCCTCCTCCTCCGCATGAAACAAAAACTCCTCTTCCTCATCATCCTCCTCCGCGTCTCGCGTCACGCGCGCCAGCATCACCTCGAGCTCCTCTATCGGGGTCTGTGCCAGCGACACCCGCGCGCGTGTGCGACGGCTGATCGTTCCGTCGGGGTCGTTCTCGTCGTCCACTTGCTGCTCGTCCCCAGCTACCACGTCCGCTCCATCCCTGGCGTTCATCTCAACATCGCTCGCTTCGCCGTCCTGTGCTTCTAAGCAGCGCGCGCCAGAAGTGCGCGCGTCTACAGTGTCCGCCGCTTCTACATCGTGCGGCTGCGAACTGCGCAAGTCAGAACCGCGCGCGCAACTCCCGTCCGCCTGTGGGCCGTCCACCACGTCCAGCCTTCCGCCCAGCTCTGCTGCCTCCGCCATCTCAGCTAAGTGCCTCTCCACCTCTGCCTCCTTGCTCACGTTATCTTCCGCCATCTGCGTCGTCGTATATCGAGCCGTCCTGTAACGAGTTGATAAACGACTCTACAACCAGCAGCTTTACAGAACGTCGTTCTTAAGAATGGTCGCTTGGGCATCTGTATCGCCAGCAGCCGGAGTTCCTTCCTGCTGCATCAACAGGCTTTCTAACTTGCATCGCGGCAGACTGATCACACCCAGTTGCCTTCGCAATCCCGAACCATACTGAAATACTAAAGAACCTGCGACAGATCGTGCTCGGGCCGCGTAAAGTCAATTCCGAAGCGTCTCAACCACATGCGTCGTCAGCTGGCGGATTTTGGCTACATATGCTTGTGAGCATTATGCTGAGCTGCTCCTTGGAATTGCCTTGGTAGCGAGGTATCTTGCACTGTCGGATGTATCATGGCTGGGAAACGTCTGGAAGTTGGATGGCAGGAGGAACAAGACGAGGCGGGTGGGATCCGTGTGATGGGGTGATCACATGGTGGCAGGGAGTTGTGAGGCTGACTGGCTGGACATGTCAATTGGTGGAGATGATCCCGATGGTGGTGCTGGTGAAACGAGGAGCGAAGTTGAGTGCCTATGTTCCTCATATCTCGTGTCGAGGCGTTCCATGTAAATTCAGCAGTTTGAGGTTTTTAAGTCGATGATTTACGGTGCAGCGTCTTTCAGGCTGGTAACCTGTCAAACTGAACCTCGAATCGTCCTGACCTTGTGATTCTCGCCTGGAAGACGGTTCAAACCACAAGTTGCATCCAAGAATGTAACGAACAAGTACAGCTCACCCATGTGATCACACAAAACGCAAAAAACCGAATGTATGACTTTCGCATGTGTAAACAGGTCCTCCACAGCATCAGCTCATTCATTCCTTCACATATCTATCCATTGATCCATTCCCACCCACCTGCTGCCATTCTGCGATTTGAATTTTCGGAAGCAAACTCCGCAATCCATTCGCAGACCGCGAGTGGTCCTCGTGGCACGACTCCTTCAGCTCACAAAAAGCGAAGTCGCTTAGTCCAGTACACGAGCTTACCACAGCATCATCTTGGTTCTGCCCCGATTCATTTCACTCGTGTTCTAGGAGATGGAGGCGGGTGACCCGACACCACTAAACGACGTGCCATGCCAGGAACCAGAGGAACGAGTGGATGGGGATGCACGTACTCGCATGGACAAACGCGCTGAAGCTGCTGACGTGGACGGAATGACTGAGAACGTGGCTTTGATAGATGAGAGTATGGCGTTCGCATATCTGGACGATAATGACCTTCTCGACGGCGCGAGCGACGACGATGGCGATGACGGCGATTCGGATTTGTCAGCAGACGATGTTGGCGATGCGGACGACGTTGGCGAAGAGGCAGGCGACATAGAGGGTGGAGGAGGCGCCGTAGAGGGTGGGGGGGAGCCGATTGAGAGAGGGGGAGCTACGGCGGAGAAGGAAGAAGAAAAAGCGGAGGAACAAGAAGAGGAGGAAGAGGAGGAGGAGGAGGAGGAGGAGGAAGAAGAGGAACTGGATGAAGCACAGCGCGTTATGGCCGCTGACGACGATGAGATGAGCGTTCACTCGGAGGAGGAAGAGGAAGGGGAGGAGGCGGAGGGGGAGGGGGAGGGGGAGGGGGTAGGCGCGCGTGGGGGGGATGAAGAAGCTCGGGGGCAAGGAGACGGGGGGACAGGTGGCGATGGCGCTGAGAGGGCGGGCGGACTGGACGTGCGGACGAACGGAAGAGTGGCGGATGGGGGGAGGCGAGAGGCGGGAGGTGAAGAGGCGGAGGTAGCAGGAGAAGGGAGGAGAGGAGCGCAAACAGTTGGGCGTCTGGAGGAGGAGAAGGAAGCGAAGGAAAGCGGTGAGCAATCAGAGGCGGCAGGAGCAAAGGGGGGAACGGAGAGGGGAGAGGTTTCTGCAGCAGCAGAAGCACGTGTGACCGCAGCCGCATGCGCAGAAGGGGAGACACAAGAAGCACGAGAGGGTGGCGCTGCGGGAGAGGTGCCCTCTCCAGGGGACGCTCGCATAGTGGAGGAAATGGCGCCTTCAGATAGTGACGCGGCTGTGGCAGCCGCTGAGGAACTCCCAGCAGATGACGCACCTGTAGTGGCGACAGAGGTGCCTTCAGCAGGGGAAGCAGCTGTAGCAGCAGCAGAGGTGCCAGTGCCATATGTGAAGCGCATGATGCGCCTGGATGGCGACGTGCGGCAAGTTTCATCCGATGCCGCCCAGCTGGTGGCCTCTGCCGCCCACCTCTTCCTCGAGAGCCTCGCCGCTGCCGCCTTCTCTCGCACTCGCTCCGCCCGCCGCCTGACCATCACCCAGGCTGATGTGGCGGCTGCTGTGCGCTCATCAGACAAGATCAGGTGAGCGTGAGGGAAGGGCGAGGGGAGGGCGAGAGGAGGGTGAGGGGAGGTTGAGAGCAGGGCGAGGGGAGGGCGAGAGGAGGGTGAGAGGAGGTTGAGAGCAGGGGGAGGGGAGGGCGAGAGGAGGCCTTGACCAATCCAGCACATGCCATCTTGCTTTGATGAAGGTGCTTGTGTGAGTGAGTCCTTGCGTATCTGTCCTTGACCAGTGTCTCCTGTCTTCCCTCCACCCATCAGTACGTTCACGAGTCTGCCCTTCCTCTCATGCTCTGCTCATTGCGCAGCGAGTTCATTGGCTCCTCCATATCCTGCCTTCGCCACGTCAGCAGCGGTCCAGGTCGTGCTGATGCAGCAGGGGGGAGGGGGAGTGCGGGGATGGTGGGGTCAAGGAAGCGGGTGAGGGCAGAGGCAGCAGCGCCAGCGGCAGTGCGGGACAGGAAGGCACGGTTCATCACAGCCTTCTTCCTCAAGACATAGCAGCACTGGGGTTTGATTACGAGCAGGGACCTCCAGAGCCAGGGGCAGCAGCACCAGCGCAGCCAGGGGCAGCAGAGCAGCACAGCGCCCGTGCAGGACTGGAAGGCGCAGTTTATCACAGCCGTCTTCCTCAAGTCGTTCGTAGCTGCCGCGTCGCAGCCGCCACACTGAAGCACAGCTGGGTGGCCCCCAAGTCACACCCGCACTGTGGTGCAGTGCCTGCATGCAAACCGCCCCATCCTTGCTCCCCTGCAACTCCCACCACACGTGCACTCACTGCACTGCACTGCACTGCACTGCACTGCACTGCACTGCACTGCACTGCACTGCACTGCACTGCCTGCTGTGCCCTGCCTTGCTGCTGCCTCATGCTGGGAGCTCGTCTGCCATCGCACGACCACTCATGCCCTGACAGCAGGGGGCTTGCTGCGCTGCTCTTGCACCAGTTACAGGCTCGGGAGCCTTGAAGCAGGTGTTGAACTTACAGGGTGGAGTGGAGCCCTGAGGGCGACTGGATGGGGTCCATTTGGTAGAGCTTAGACATGGTCAGTTACTGCACTGGAAAATGCTGTTCTACACGAGCGCATTGTTAGTCCAGCATTGATACTGTGGAATGTGTTTTACAATGCGCCTCAATGGACCAACACTGTACTGATAATGTTCTTATTCTGTCCTACAAGTCCAACAGTGCACTGTACAGTGTCAGTTGCCATGGATGGTGTACCGGTCCCACTTCTTTGCTGGGTCGTATATCTGCAATACAAGGGAAAAACAACGTCGGGGGGAAGAACAGTGTGAGGTACGACTGTGGGGAGGTGGGGGAGATTGTGGGAGAGTTAGGGGAAGGAGGAAGCGGGGCAGGGCAGACTGCAGTCAAGAGAGGTAGCAGCGGGTGCGGCAGGCAGGGAGAATCAGCAGGAGCAGCAGCAGAAACAGCAAGATAGAGAGAGGGGGAAGGGAGGTGCAGGGTGCTGACCTCCCATCGGGAGGCAGGAAAGATGTGCTTGTTCTTGTCGTACCAATGCCGCTCCACCACCTTGCCTGCGTGCGACTGCAGGGAGGGGCGTGGGAGGAAGAGGGGGAGAGTAAGAGGGAAGGATGGGGCGTGAGAGGAGATAACTTCAAATTGGAGAATTAGGGCTGCAGTATGGTGAGATGCAGTATGGTGAGATGCCAGGAGAGTAAACCTTGCAACGTCATCCCGTGCCTCGTAGTCATGGCCGCACCCATCCATGGTGCGCCATCGGCATGCATGGTGCGCCATCAGCGTGCATGGTGCGCCATCAGCGTGCATGGTGCGCCATCAGCATGCATGGTGCGCCATCAGCGTGCATGGTGCGCCATCCAAGACCCCTCATAACCATGCACATATCACTCTCGTGCCACAATACTCTCTTCTGGACAGTCATTCACGCCTTCCAGCCCTCACCACGTCCTTTCCCCCCCTTGGCATCTCGTCCATGTCCCATCTCGGCAGAATCCCGTCCCACCTTCATCCCCTCGTCCCACCACATAACGCACTTGGTCCTTGTGTCCCCCCACCCACACACCTCTTCCTCACCCCTATCCCCCTTTTAACACACCTCGTCCTTCTCAATGGTGGCGTCCCGCGTGGTGCGGATGTCATCGTGCACATCAAAGTGAAACAGTTGCTTGCCACGCACCTCTTCACTTTCTCATGTCAGCAGTTGCACCCTCCCCCATTCATTCACCTCCTTACCCACCACTTACCTCGTCCTTCTCAATGGTGGCATCCCCCGTGGTGCGGATGTCATCGTGCACGTCGAAGTGGAACAGCTGCCAGCCCACACGTGCACGCCACAGCACGTGCACGCCACAGCACGTGCGCACCATTGCATGTGGGGTGTGTGTGTGGGGCACGGGGAAGGTGGGAGAGCAGGAGAGGGAGAGAGGGAAGAAATGACGCAGAAATGGGAGTTGTGTGCAGCAATAGTTGTGTGAAAACAGAAGAATCGAGGCCGGCACTCTCCCTCCTACTGCACAACTCTCCCTCCTACTGCACAACTCGCTATCCTCATCCCCAACTCCCACCGCGTTGCATCTATCCCCCCCTTCCCCGCATGTGTCCCCGGCATGTGTGTGTGTGCCCTTACCGGACCACTCTTTCCCCGCGCCTTGTTCACAATGAGCTCGTAGAACGTGTATTGCTGCCAGGGGGAGGGGTTCAGGGGGAGGGGGTCAGGGGGAGGAGAGGGGGTTAAAAGTGGGCCTTGTTAACAATGAGCTCGTACAAGGTGTATTGCTGGAAGGGGGACAGGGGGGGGGGGGGTTGTGGGCGGGAAGGGGCGGAAGAGGAAGCGGGCAAGTGGCACGCGTTCACAATGAGCTTGTCGAAATCGCTGGGCAGTACAAATGAGAAATTGATTATCATTTTTTCCTTGATGAGCATGTTCCCATGCGCCCTGCAGCTCGCACCCACACACACGCCAACCTCGCCCCTCACATGCACCCTGCACACCAATCCCATGATGCACTCACATGCACCCTGCACACCAATCCCGTGATGCACTCACATGCACCCTGCACACCAATCCCGTGATGCACTCACATGCGGGATGATGAGATCCTCCTTGATGTACACCAGCCCCTCCACGGACGCCGACCGCACCTCCCGGAAGTCGGGCGCCAGCTGCTGCTGCACTGCTCGCAGGAAGTCCGCTATGCTGTCGCCCTTGCGCACCTGGGGGAGAGATGGGGAGGGTTAAGGGGAGGGGAGGGGGGGCATGGGGACAAAAAGGGTAGGGAGCAAATGATTCTTATGGCGTCTTTTCAATTGGCTGCTACAGCACCCCCCACAGTAAGTCCGTGCAGTAAGTCAAGTCCGTGATGCTGTTTGTGTTGCGCACATGGTGAGCCGGGGGGTTGAAGAGCCGGAGAGAGCCGGTGTGGGAGGGAGGGAAGAGGTAGGGAGGAGCAGGAGAGAGAGGAAACGAAGGAACACATGGTAACTGCACACACGGTAACCACACATCGCAAACCGCACGGTAGCATACAAACGCTCCTGCCTCACCTTGATCACTCGCCTGTGCCCTGCCCCGTCCCAGAAACTGTATGTGATCTCCAACGGCTCATCTGATTGGCCGATGGGGTGGCAGAGGTTAGGCAGGGGAATGGGGGGCATGGGGATGGGATGAAGCAGAGGTGGAGGAAACTGATGTGCAGCTTCTCACTATGATAAGGTGACCTACAGTTGACAAGCCTCACAAGCTCTAGAGTAAAACTTTTGAGGCGCCTCAAAAGCTGATGTGCAGCTTCTCACTATGATAAGGTGACCTACAGTTGAGACGTCTCACAAGCTCTAGAGTCAAATCAATTTCGGAAAATAGCATAAGGGAATCACTCACTCTCCCCTAGACAGTCTCACTCCTCATCCCTACCCATTACTGACTCCCACATCCCTGTCAAAACCCACTCATCCACTGAAAAGACTCACCGGTATTCCCCCATACAGACTCACTCTTTATCCGCTCCTGTTCCGCCAGCCACTGCTTCGCCAGTCGCTCCCTCTCTGCCGTCTCCTGCGCCTCGCGGTCCCTGTGAGTGAGGGGCAAGGGGGCCGGGTGACAGCGGTGGGAGAGGAGGAAAGGGGAGGGAGGGAGTGGGGGCGGGAGAATGTGAGAGAAGAGATTGGTGGGGCTCAGCAGAGTAGGTGGGGCTCAGCGGAGTAGGTGGGGAAGTGGGGCAGGGGGAGGAGAGAGGTGAAAGGAAGAGATTGCAGAGGGGAAGGCAAAGAGCACAAGTCACTGGGGATGTGCTCTTCACTTCACTTGTGCTCAACTCTGTTGCAACTCTGTTGCAACTCTGTTGCATGCATGTGAATGTTTCCACACAGGAATCCATGGCAGCAGCAAAGTGTCACTTGCACCGACACAAACAACATGAGCCCCCTACATAAATGTTTACCACCTGTTCAATAGTAACCATTTGTCCAGTAACCAACTTTGCAGTAAGCACATCTGTGCCCCCACATGCATGCAACCGCCCCTCCGCCCTCACCGCACCTGTCGGGCCGGAAGCCGGTCTCCACGGTGGGGCCCTTACCAAAACTTGCTCACAACCACCTGTTAGGTAACAACCGTTCTGGTAGGCACGCAACTGCGCCCTCCCCTGCGCCCTCCCCTGCGCCTTCCCCTGCGCCTTCCCCTGCGCCCTCCCCTGCGCCCTCCCCTGCGCCCTCCCCTGCGCCCTCCCCTGCAACCTCCCCTGCGCCCTCCCCTGCGCCCTCCCCTGCGCCCTCCCCTGCGCCCTCCCCTGCGCCCTCCCCTGCAACCTCCCCTGCGCCCTCCCCTGCAACCTCCCCTGCGCCCTCCCCTGCAACCTCCCCTGCGCCTTCCCCTGCAACCTCCCCTGCGCCCTCCCCTGCAACCTCCCCTGCGCCCTCCCCTGCGCCCTCCCCTGCAACCTCCCCTGCGCCCTCCCCTGCAACCTCCCCTGCGCCCTCCCCTGCAACCTCCCCTGCAACCTCCCCTGCGCCTTCCCCTGCAACCTCCCCTGCGCCCTCCCCTGCAACCTCCCCTGCAACCTCCCCTGCGCCTTCCCCTGCAACCTCCCCTGCGCCCTCCCCTGCAACCTCCCCTGCAACCTCCCCTGCGCCTTCCCCTGCAACCTCCCCTGCGCCCTCCCCTGCAACCTCCCCTGCGCCCTCGCTGCACCTGTCAGGCAGGAAGCTGGTCTCCACGGTGGGGTCCTTGCCAAACTTGCTCATCCTCGCCTTCTTCCGCCCCTCCCCCGCTGCCCCCTCTCCGCCCCTGCCTGCCCCGTTCTCTGCTGTCGCCCACACATGGGGAGAAGGATGAGAGGGGAGAAGGATGAGAGGGGAGAAGGATGAGAGGGGAGAAGGATGAGAGGGGAGAAGGATGAGAGGGGAGAAGGATGAGAGGGGAGAAGGATGAGAGGGGAGAAAGGAAAGAGAGGGGAAATCGGGAGAGGGACGAGAGGGGTGGGAGGGGAAAGTGGGGGACGAAGAAAAAGAATCGGGAGAGGAGAAAGAGGGAGGAGAGGGGAGTGAACAGACGGTTCAAGAGGACAGCATTGTGTGGGGAGGGTGGAGCAATACCACTCAACAGGCGCTCTGACACTGCTATCCCACAGGCGCTCTGACACTGCTATCCCACAGGCGCTCTGACACTGCTATCCCACAGGCGCTCTGACACTGCTATCCCACAGGCGCTCTGACACTGCTATCCCACAGGCGCTCTGACACTGCTAACCCACAGGCGCTCTGACACTGCTATCCCACAGGCGCTCTGACACTGCTATCCCACAGGCGCTCTGACACTGCTATCCCACACTCCCTCACTCTCATCTCCTCTCGCTACCCTCTCTTACCTCTTGCCTCTTGCTCCCTCCCATTCTCCTTCTCCCCCTCCCCCTCCCCCTCCTCCTCCTCCTCGTCCTGCAGGTCATCCAGGAATGACAGCTTGGCCGTGGGCGCTGCTGCTCGCCGCCGCCGCCGCTTCTCCATCTGCTTCTCCTCCTCGCTGCGCGTGTGATGGCATGCCATGGCGCGCACGGGTGGATTGGACCGGTGGGGTGCGGTGAATCACCGCCGATGATGATGACGCAGGATGGGGAGGATGGTGAGGAGATGCAAGGGCGGAAAGAGAGAGGAAGTAAGGGCATGTATGCATAACGCACGGCAAGAGAGAACAGTTTCATAGAATTCTCGAGAACCTCACAAGGTATGCGGGCATGGCAAGAGGGCAGAGTTGACATGCGACGTTAGAGGACACTCACAGGCGCACATAGGGTGCGGGTTGCTTGCATTCAGGGCATCCATCATCCCCACCCACAACCACACCCCCTTCAACCCCCATCCCCATCACTCACTCACTGCCCCATCGCCCCACTTCCCCCCCCCCCAAGCGCCACTCACTCGTCCGCCTGTCGCTGCTTGGCCTCTCGCTCCTCCTCCTCCATCTTGCTCCTCAGCGTTGCCCTCTGCTCCATGCCGTGTCATACCATGCCATCATGCCATGCCATACACACCGTGCCATGCCATGTGATCATGCATATTATGACATCATGCCATGCCATGCCATGCCACGCCACGCCACGCCACGCCACGCCACGCCACGCCACACCATCCCATATGAATGAGGAACATGGGTCAAACGATTCGAACTGTTTCGCACAGCACACAAACACCCCCTACCCACGCCACGCACCCTCTGCCTGGTTCCCCCATCCACTCCCCCCTTCCTAGTTCCCCCGTGGGCCCCCTGCCAACCTAGCTCCCCCCAACCCCCTTGACGTACCCCATGCTCCCCCCATGCCCTCCCCGTGCCCTCCCCATGCCCTCCCCATGCCCTCCCCATGCCCTCCCCATGCCCTCCCCATGCCCTCCCCATGCCCTCCCCATGCCCTCCCCATGCCCTCCCCATGCCCTCCCCATGCCCTCCCCATGCCCTCCCCATGCCCTCCCCATGCCCTCCCCTACCCCTCCGCGCGCACCTTCTCAACGAACTGTTCGCGCGTGACCAGCCCCACCGTCTGCTTCTTGAACGCCGTCTCCAGCGTCTGGGGGCGGGGGGCGCGGGGGGAGCGGGGGAAGCGGGGGATGGAAGCGAGATACGAGAGAGAGGGAGGCGAGATGGTGAGCCGACTGCTGTGCGCACGTCTCAGCGACTTAACGACGGACACACGTGCGGACGGCACTCACTGCCGTCACCGCGGGCACTAGAAAAGCGCAGGTAAGGGAGGACGCGGTGATGTGTAGGTGGGCAGCGGGCCCTAGCCCACCCGCGCGCTGCCATCAACTAAAGTTCCTCCTGCGGGAAACGGGACATCCCTTCTCGCGGCCGCTCCGGGCTTTCCCTATGCGCGCAGCACGGGCTCCGCAGCACGGGCTCCGCAGCACGGGCTCCGCAGCACGGGCTCCGCCGTCCCATCGTCGACTCCTGCGACTTCCTACCGCAAACCACTGATTGCCTTAGCGCCGCTCAAACTACTTGGTCACAGCGCATCTCGGCGCGCAGTGTAGCGGAAGAGGCGCGCGCGAGGCGCAGCTTTGGGCGCACTGTAACGGCGGAGGCGCGCGCGGAGGGCGCACCTCGGAGGTGGCGGTGCCGAACTGCAGCAGTCCCTGCAGGCCCTGCGACGACTTCTTGCGCAGCTCCTCCATCTTCGCCTGCTCCTCCTCGCGCTGCTTCTCCAGCCGCCGAATCCGCACCGCGTCCGCCGCCGTGCCCACGTATCCATCGCCCATGCCCGCCATGGCTGCTCCTTGCTCCCGCTCTTCGACGCCCAGGATGCTCGACAAAATGCCCGGTGCTATAAGTAACGTTAAATATAACAAAAATGGAGTGTGAGACATCCGTTGTAGTCTAGTCGGTTAGGATATTCGGCTCTCACCCGAAAGACCCGGGTTCAAGTCCCGGCAACGGAACGCTGTTTTGCTGCCCGCGGGCAAAAAGAATAAACCCCAGACGGGCATGCATCCGGTCAGGGAGGCATCAACCCTAAACACGGGGAGGCATGGATTTAGGGTTGATGCCTCCCTCGGATGGCATGCCATCCGATGGGGTTTTAGTTTTTTTCTGCCCGTCGGACCCCGTTTGGTTGAGACATTCCCCGCAAAACGGTTTGAGCACGAGTGTGTGGTTACTTCGTGACACAGTTCGCGAGAAGCGATGCATTTACGCAGGGAACCAGCGTAACCTAAACTGTCGCCAATACGACACGTGTGGTTACTAGTTTCCGCTGAAATATTCCAAGCTCGAGCTTGACTATGTCTAGTGGGCTGCGCGAATCGATCTTGTTCGAACCTCACCTGCGATCTTTCTCGTTTCGCGTGACCTCTCTTCTTGCCTTGTCTCTCCCCCCTCGACCTTCATCTTTCCGCCACGCGCCAGCAGCTCGCACATTCCCCCGTCACAGGCCACCCTTCCCGTTGGTTCGCCGACCACACCGACATTCCTGCGTTACTCACAGTGAGCGGCGAGTTGCTCTTAGTCTGTCGTCGCGTCGCCGCCGCACGTGCTCGCACACGTGTGCTGCATTCTTTCACGCAAAAACTGTTCTTGCTTCATGGCTTCCAGCAGTTCGGCCCGCTTGCAAAGCACGCGCCTACCAGCTTCCCGCCCGTACCCCTTACCACGCACTTAGAGAGAAAGTGACTGCACCATGAATCTATTGCCAAAGTACCCGCCTGAGCAGCGAATGGGTGATTATCAAAACCTGATGCCGCCAAGTCTCCGTTGGTGACTTGCCAAGGCAAGTCGCACAAGGACGAGACTACCCACCGCGTGGCGCCGACGGTAACGAGCCGACCAACGCCTATCGGCAACCACCGTTTTCCTATCAAACCGGACTACTCTCGCGCTCCCGCTCGCCCTCTCCGCTCTCTCTCTCTCCCCCAGCGTCACGGGTTCGCGCTCCGCGGTGGCGTATAAGAGGCGCTGCTCTTCGCAAGCATGGCGCTACCTAACCTTGTGAAGCCATCTTAGCGCCTCTCATCTTAACGAACCTTGTATGAGGCGAGCAAATGTTACCAGAAGCTCGTTAAGTGCGACTCCTCAGTGCTACTCTTTTCAAAACCGCGCTCAACGCTCTGCAATGGCAACCCTGTTCTCTCACACGCGACTGGGTCGCGTTGTGCTGGTTCTGACTGTTCTTCTCGTGCTCGCAGGTAAGCTAGTGTATATTGTGTTGGTGCCCTGTGCAATGCCAAGAACTACTTGTGTTCGAGTCTTTGACTCTTTTATTTCCAAATCATGTCTTCCGTCCCTCCCCATACATCCCTCTCTCCGCTGCCTCTTCCGTGCCATGCGACTTATCTCCCCATGACTCCCTCCCGTGCCTCTCTCCCGTGCCTCTCTCCCGTGCCTCTCTCCCGTGCCTCTCTCCCGTCCCTCTCTCCCGTCCCTCTCTCCCGTCCCTCTCTCCCATGCCTCTCTCCCGTGCCTCTCTCCCGTGCCTCTCTCCCGTGCCTCTCTCCGTGCCTCTCTCCGTGCCTCTCTCCCGTGCCTCTCTCCCGTGCCTTGCTCCCGTGCCTCGCTCCCGTGCCTCGCTCCCATGCCTCGCTCCCGTGCCTGCACTCCACCATTCACTGCACGTGGCTGGTATCTCCGTGGCAGTGCCATCAACAACCAAGGTGTGAACGCGTTATAGAGCGTGGATCTTCTGAAAGGTGTGATGCGCATGATGGTGCTCAACCCTTTCGGCAGTCATTATGTGTTGGGAGGGAGAATCTGGGGCTCGTGGTGGGCTGCTGTTCATTCATGCCTGCTCCCTACCTACTCCTTCCCCCTCCACTCCTCCCCCCACTATCCCTCTCTCTCTCACCGCATACACACACACGCAAACACACACACACACGCGCAAACACACATACACACACACACACACACACACACACACACACACACACACTGCGCACCTTGGCAAGGAAGAGGTGGTGGGTGGGGGCGTCATTCATCCATCTCTCTACCCCTCTCGCCGCTTTTTGTCCCACGCGTGCAGGCCAAGCTAGTGGTGGTGGGAGGGGGGGGCGTGAGCCCGTGGAACGAGTGGAGCATGCGGGTGTGGAAGAAGCCCGTGCTGCATGTGGGGGACACTCTCGGTGAGATATGCATGCCCGCTCTATCCTTATTTTCTTCACCTGTGGGGCTATTTTTGAGGCGCCTCAAAACATGGAGCGAGTGGAGCATGCGGGTGTGGGGGAAGCCAGTGCTGCATGTGGGGGAAGCCAGTGCTGCATGTGGGGGAAGCCAGTGCTGCATGTGGGGGAAGCCAGTGCTGCATGTGGGGGAAGCCAGTGCTGCATGTGGGGGAAGCCAGTGCTGCATGTGGGGGAAGCCAGTGCTGCATGTGGGGGAAGCCAGTGCTGCATGTGGGGGAAGCCAGTGCTGCATGTGGGGGAAGCCAGTGCTGCATGTGGGGGAAGCCAGTGCTGCATGTGGGGGAAGCCAGTGCTGCATGTGGGAGACACGCTCGGTGAGACATGCATGCCTGCATGCCGCCTCTACCCTGTGTGGCCGTGTCGTGCTGTGAGCTAGCCATGGGAGTTGCTTGTCTGCATGGGGAGTCAGTGCATCTCTGGTACTGCTTGTCATACAATCTTACAAACAGGTGACATGCTTGCGCCTGTCCTTCGCCCCATACATTCCCTCTGCATGTCTTTGTGCACCTTCGGCATCGTTTCACCTTTTCCTGTGTCTGATTCTCCTTCTTTTCCTGGTCTTTCCCTGCGGTGCCATGCCTGGCTGGCAGTGTTCAAGTGGTGGGGCTTCCCCAATGACGTCGTCGCTGCACTCAATAAGAAGCAATTCGATACATGCAACTTCACTATAGCCATCTTGCTGCACAGCACCACGTGGGTGGGGCGCTTCAAGATTGCAGTACCATCAGGCACCACGCGAGTGCTCTTCGCCAGCAGCATGCGTGAAAGGTGCAGGAGGGGACTCAAGTACGACACTGGTGCCATTTTGCCGTGATTACTGTCACAGCTCACGGGTACATTTGGTACTGTAATTCAGGACGAGGTAGGCACCTTAGAAATAAAGTGGGCATCTTTGTCAAATGTTGTAGCCAGTAGTGAGGCATGTCATGTGGGGTACAGCAGTTAGGGTTACGGTACCCGTCATCGCCCGGATATAAGACAGTGTTGAATAGTAGACAGGGGTTGTCTATTATACGGGTGTCTCTTATAAACAGGCTAGCCTTTTTATACGACACCTATTTGTGTGTACGGGTTAAGAAAGTGTAAAGGCTAGGGGCAATTGTATAACGAGGGGGTATCTTCTAAACGGTTCTTTGTCCATTTATAAGACTTATAAGACACCCTAAACCGTCCCAAATACAAGACAACCCAAGCATTTTTGCCCGTGTACGAGATAAGACATATATGTCTTATATCCGGGCGATGACGGTAGGTTTATGCATCCCAACCAACCTTAGTCAAACATCATTTCAGTTCTTGACATGGTATCACATAGATTAGGATCATGTAGCATCCTGTTCCTCACACTTATGTTTGTAGCGCCCTACTATCGAGCCTGTCCCATACCCTAGTGCCCATCACGCTCGTCCCGTGCCCTAGTGCCTGTTGGGCTGAAAAAAACCCTTAGAGGATCTTTGCATGGGTGAACTCTGGGTAGGAACGATGTAATAGCGGAAGCGTTTAATGATGAGATTGTGAACCACCTTGCGCTAGTGTGTGAGGGCAAAGTAAGTTAATTAAAACAAAGAGATACAAGCATTTTTTTAGGGGTACGAGGAATATGAAGAGATACAGTTATAACTACTTTACTGTTGCTGTTGCGGTTCGATACAGTGACGACTCGGGCAACTGCTCTGTAGCGAGTCAGTTGTGTGTCCTTGCTGTCGCGCTGTACTTGTCAGGTCAAAGGTCGCTGACCTTTGACTTTCGCGTAACCTCCAACAGTTACTTTCAACCTCCGAGGGTTGACTCGCCGGTGCTTCGATATGCTTCGTTTCGCTTGTGCCATAGTGTTTCGACACGACAGAGGCGCTTAAGATTCATTGTTTCCAACACTCCCCTTCGCTTCTGGAGTGTCGCTGCTGGTGACGTGGCTCTGTCCAGTCAGCAGCATGCAGTACTCGAACTTCTGTTTTCCGAGCTTCTTGGTCAAATAGTCAGCTGCCATCTCGGATGTGGGGCAGTATGACAGCTCGAGCCTCCTCTTTTCGATCTCGTCCTTCACGAAGAAGTATCGCAGGGCGATATGTTTCGTCCTGTTCGCGAAGCCGCTTTTGTTGGCTATACGAATTGCCGACTGGTTGTCGCAGAACAGGGTGAAGCTTGGTAACTGGGCCAATTTTGCTTCTTCCAGCAGTTCGCGAAGATAGAGTCCTTCCTTGGTGGCTGAGCAGAGTGCGATGTATTCTGCTTCAGCTGAGGAGAGAGCAATTAGTTCCTGCTTGCTCGACTGCCAGGAGATAGGACCGATAGGCTCGAAGCGGTAGATGTAGCCGGTGCGCGAGCGCCTGTTGTCGGAGTCGCCGGCGTGATCGGCGTCGACGTAGCCGATTAGTTTAGGCGTTGTAGTTGTGTTTTTATGGTAGGTCAGGCCAATCGTTGGGGTGCTTATGAGATAGTGGAGAGCGCGGTCGAGCTCTGCCAGATGTTCCGCTTCAGGCTTCTTAAGATAGGTAGCGAGTTGGCTTGCAGAGTACGATAAGTCCGGGCGGCAGGTGACGGCTGCAAATAGGAGGCAGCCCAGTTTCCTCTGGTAGTCGCGTATGCCGGCGGGTTTGAGTAGAGTAGAGCCTTCTTTGTTGTTTCCTGCCGTGTAGCGGTATGGCGTGGAGATGGCGGTCGGCGTGAGAGCGAAGCGTTTGGCGATAGTGTCGGCGTATTTTGCGGCGCTGAGGTAGATCGCGTCTTCCTCTTCCCTGATGTTGAGGCCGAGGTACTGTGTAACGGTAGATGAGACCGTTAGCGTGAGGTCCTGCAGCAGTTCCCCTTCGAACCAAGTAGTGACGCTGTCGGTTGAGCCGATGTAGAGGAGATCGTCTACGTAGACGATTAGCAGGATGTAATCTGTGCCTTTCGTGAGCCGGTATATCCCCTGATCGTGCGGTAGTTGTTTGAAGCCGATGCGAATGAGGCGAGCGTGCAGGTACTGCTGCCATAGCCGCGGAGCTTGCTTGATGCCGTAGAGCGACTTGAGTAGCTGGCAGACGTGATTGGGCTCTCCGTTGGAGCCGTGCGGTAGCTCCACGAAAATTTCTGCATCAACGGGTGCATAGAGAAATGCGTTCGCGACATCGATTTGTCGTAGCTTCTTCTTCTTCATGGCGGCGATCGCGAGGAGGATTCGTAGCGACGTGTGTCGACTGACCGGAGCGAATGTTTCGGTGAAGTCGCGTCCGTGCTCTTGGTCGAAGCCGCGTACGACCCAGCGCGCCTTGAATTTGTCAATGGTTCTGTCGGCCTTCGTCTTCACGCGGAAGACCCATTTCCCGGTGAGAATGGTCTTGTTCCGTGCTACGCCGATAGGGACAATTTTCCACGTGTTGCGCTCCTCTAATGCCTTCAGTTCTCTGTCCATGGCTTCACGCCATTTTTCCTTATGCTCCCCCCCCAGAGCCTGTTGAACTGTCGCAGGCTCCTTAGGAATGGCTGCGCCGTGGACTGCGGTGACGAGTCCAAGTATCTGGAGTCCACTCTGTGTGTAGCGGGGGAGTGTTGTGTCCTCGGGATAAGCTGCTTCGTCACCTGCTTCTGGGTCAGGTATGAAGTTGGGCCCTATGCGTTCTGCTTCGTTGGTGTTGACTCTTGCAGGTGTAACGTAACCGTTGTCGGCGAAGTGGTAGTATGCTTCGGCGTTGGTGCTGTCGCGAGGATTTTCGTCATCCATTGGGACATCGACGTAACAGTAAGGGAGAGGTCCAGCTTCCTCCGAGGCTGCATCTACGTTCTGCTCGTCCCAGTCAGCTTCGTCTGCTGCCGAGGCGAAGGCTCGGTCACCACGAAATCCGCCTGTGGGGTCTCGATTTTCTTCCAGGTTGGCAAGGTGCGTCGGAAGTGTGAGTCGCTCGTAGAAAATCACATCACGTGCTGCCACTGTTTCTTTTGTCTCGATGTCGAAAATCTTCCATGCATTGTAGTGTTTTTCGATGCCCAGGTGTAGTCCCCACTGTGCGCGTTGGGAGAATCGGCCGGCTCGTGCAGTTGGGGGTCGGTACTGTACCATGCAGCCGAAAACTCTTCCATAACAATTTTGTGCTGCCCAATTTCCCTGTCCACAGCAGGTGCGGTGATGCGTTGTTCGGGAGTGACGACGAAGATAGCAAGTTGTGCAGCATGACAGCGTTAGCAGTTTGCGCATGGTGTTCTGTAGGGTCCTGTTCATCCTTTCTGCTACGCCTTGCTGTTGGTGAGCGTAGGGAAGGGAGATGAGTCTCTTGATTCCTCTTTCCGCCAAGTACTGCTTGAACCTTTGTGAGGTGTATTCTCCTCCCCCGTCTGTCTGAGAACTCTTTAGCTTGACGCCCGATTCCCTTACTGCTACGGGGAGCCACGCGACGAAGGCTTCGAAGGCCATGTCCCTGCTCGGAAGGTTGAGATGCCAGACGTAGCGTGTCGCTGCGTCGATGAACGTGATGGTGTAGTTGTATGTGTTTTGTCCGGGGGCGCGGTTGTACAGGATGTCGCTGTACACCTTTTCAAGAGGCGCGTAGACCGGAGCGCTAGGGTTGTGGTGAGATGTGAACGGTTGATGCGGTAAGTCGGCTTCAGGACAGGTGAAGCATGTCCCTCGTGCTCGTTGAAGTTCTCTCCCGTCGGTTAGTAGTAGTGAGTCCTTGTCGAGCACTCCTGCCCTTATCGTATTATTTAACACTGTGTTGCTTGGGTGTCCCATCCTTGCGTGCCAGGTGCTTTCGTCAGCGCGATGTCCGGGTGATCGTCGATACAGATCGGAGTTGGAGTAGAAGCCGGCAGTGACGTTGGCGCTTCAGTGGACTTCTCGTGGTGCCGGGTTTAACTGCTGTGCGGGTGTCGGTGGCGAATTGTCGATGAGGATTGGTGCCGTTGAAGGACCAGCGATTGGTGTCGATGTTGCCGCTGCTGCTGTCGATGTCGTTTCTTCTGCTGCCGATGTTGTCTCTGCTGCTGTCGATGTTGTCTCTGCTGCTGAAGTTGTCTCTGCTGCTGTCGAATGTTGTATTGTTGCTAACGCCCTTGTTCTTTCAGCTTCAGGTATGGTGTGTGAATACCAGAAGCCTTCTGGACTGAAGTCTGGATCAAGGTCTGGAGGGTGGGTCCAAGAGGTGAAGGTGACGATGCCATCGCTGTCTGCTGTGCTGAGATCTGGAACAAAGTCAAGAACAAAGACATTGTTCTTGAGGATCGCCTTTCCGATGTAGAGGCCGCCCTTTCCGTGGTACAGCTTGAACTCCTGGGTGGTGCTGTCTGCTTCAAGATGAATACCCTTCGCCATCAACTGACTGACGCTCAGTAAGTTGTAGCCGAGGCCTTCTGCGATTAAAACCTTAGACATCAGTAGAATGACATTTGTCTCTTGTGACTGAAGTTGTACCACGCCTTGTCGTCGTGTGCGCAGGTTTTGATTGTTGGCGACGGTGATGACTACTTCTCGTTGGAGTTGATACTCTCGCTGCACGAAACGTCCTGAAGAGCACATGTGCTGTCCGCAGCAGCTGTCCAAGAACCAGGTGTCTTTCCCGGATGGCTCGCTTTGGGCGATGGCGGCGTATGTCGGGTTCGGCTGAAGCGATTCGTGGCGGGGCGTACTGTTGTCGAGCTGTTCTTCCGGTGAGTAATGTGGCGGTGATTCAGTGACGCAGGAGTCGGTCAGTCTTGCCATGCAACTGACGATGTTTCTTGCTCCTTGTGCAGGTTGTCCCGTTGATGTCGTCCGTGCTCCCTGCGCCCTGCCCGTCACGTCGCACCCTTCTCGCCCCGCCGTGTCGCGCCCTACCATGCGTCCCGTAGCGCCCTGAGCCT